TCTACCATTTAATAAGGTGAGCACGAAGATATCATACTCCTCATCGGGTAAGAAACCCAACAAAATAATCACCTTGTACTCGTCCGTTATCTTCTCATCTACATTTGCTAAGTCTGACAACAACTTTATAGTTATTCACATGAGCCGCAAGTGAGCTGCCCCTGGACATCTAGAATTTGAATAATCTTTACAGCAAGTGCAACTGATTCTCAACACTCTTTGTAAGGTACTTGTTGTTAAGAGTCTCTCACATATTCATCGCAGACGTCACACTAATCACATCGTATTTCAACTCTTGTTCCAAACAAGACCTGATCACCCCACAAGCGTTCTTATTCATCTTGTCTCATATCGCCTCATCGTATTTCGGTATCCTCTCATGGACCATGATGGTCCCTTCCACAAACCAAAATTGATCTCGCCTTCACACTTCACTACGCTAATCTTAGTATTTTGAAGTCCAACCTAAACTGTACTCATCATTGTCTTGCTGCTTTTACTAACTTCTTCTCCCATGCTTACAAACTCCAAATTATAAAGAAAGATTCAAACTTTGATAGAATTGAGAAATTATCCAACTTAATCCTAGATAGGATTCCAACACGATCTCCTAACCACACAAGGAAAGCGAGATACCAACGGCAACTCCGTAACGCTATCTCCACCGAAACCTAGAACTCAAAGAACCAAGCTTCAAACAACGAATCTTCCTCCACCTAATACAAAACCCTAGATTTGAAATTCTAGAGCTCTGATACCAATTGTTGTGTGTCATGCGGAAGCGTGCTCGACAACCAAACGAGTCCACGAGGGATGAGAGAAGGGCGACCGACCCGTAAATCCTGTAAAATCCAGTTTCTGGCGATTGTGTCGGTTGACCGCCCTTGCACCTTCGGTCGACTGACCCGTGGGTTACTGTAGTTGTTTCTTCAACTCGGATTTCCTAATTTTCGCTGTGTTTTCTACATTTGCGTCATCAACCTTTTATTAAAAAACACTTTTTCGAGAATAATTTAACCACAATATATGAACACGATCTATTAGGGAACTAAATTTAAAATTATTATAGTCCAGCTAACAAAAAAAAATCAGTATCAGTATCACCATATTGTTAAATATAGTTATTGGGCATATTGTATCCTTTTTTTAGTCCCACATCGCCTATGATACTAAAACCTCTTCTATTGCTCTTGTATTTAAACTTTTCAATATAATGAGTAAAATAAGTCCCTTTCTATTAATGTAAAACCTCGTAAAATACAGTGAATGAAATTTTTTTATTGTGAAATATATGTTAACATCATAGATGAATGTGATAACAAGTGTTTGGGGATTAAACGAGTGTATTTATATGAGAAAGATCGAGTGATAAGACCAGCACACAAACAACATGCACCAACAGGAAGTTTCCTACACGGTCGACTGTGGCGGTCGACCGCTGGGTGCGCAGCAGAAGTAGAAAGCTTCTATCTCTTGCGCGGTCGAGCGTGGCGGTCGACCGTACGTAGTTTTGCCAGTTTTGCCCAGTTCGAGTCTTATTGGGTTTTTGGTCGGGTTTGTGGGCTTATATATATAATATTATATTCGTGAGAGCTTCGTCTTCACCACAGAAAACCCTAGCAGCCTCCTTCTTCCCTCTTGCAAACCCTAACCCCTTCTTCTTAGTGATTTCGGCATATTTCGAAGAGTTTGAGCGGGATCCAGCGGTTTTCGGCGTAGGAGGATATTTTTCCAGCGTTTTTTTAGAGTTATTCATCATCCCTTAGGTGAGTTTCATCTCGCTCAACCCTATACCCATGTTTTTAAATGTTTTAATAATGTTTTTCATGTGATTTGTGAGCCAAACATACTAGATTATCTATAAAAATGGATCTATATGTTGTATTTTTGCAAAGAGAACATGTTTTCAGTTAATAAAGCTCACCCATGAAATTCTTAATACAGATCTAGATCTGAGTTTATTTCTAATAAGAGTTTTGTAAGAAAGATTTTTGTTTTTGAAGATTTCGACACGAAATTTACATGTTTGAGATTTAATTCATTTTATCTATAGTGATTAGACTAAAATTCACATGTTCTGGTTATGCTAAATCACTTATGAAGGATTGATAATGTATATAAACATCGCACGAAAGTTTTTGGATCAAACCACGTAGAACAGAAACCTGAACTAGGGTTTCTGCTTTTACGCGATCGACCGTGGTGGTCGACCGTGTGTCGTGCACAGAAGCAGTAAGTTTATGCTCCAATCGTGGTCGATCGCGGGCGGTTGACTACTAGAGGATATTTTTTTTCTTCGGCTTTTGTCCTGTTGTGCTTAGGTTTGTGTGGCTGGCAAAATATCTGGGTTATATGGGTTTGTTATACACTGAGATTGGTATACATGAGTTGACTTCAGACATGAGTCTTAGATTTATTCACCGGAGCATGAGGGTGAATGGTATATTTGTGATTTCTGACACTATTTGCATATTACAGTCCTCGTGTTGGACTATAAGCGATCAAGTCCTCGTGTTGGACTATAAACTATTAAAGTCCTCGTGTTGGACTATAAGCTATCAAAATCCTCGTGTTAAACTATAATCATTAAAGTCCTTGTGTTGGACTATAATCCACTACAGTTCTCGTGTTAGACTTTAAGTTATTACAGATCATACTTTGGACATTTATTTATTGCAGACCACGAGTTGGGTATGTAATTGACATTTGACAGGTCATTGATATTTCGGTTGGAGATAGAGTTATTACTCCATGTTGTAGCTTTTGAACTTGATATTTAGCTATTTACAATTTGATCTAAGGGAGGCATGCCTATGCTCATGTTGTAAATTTCTAAACATGAAACCTCTATTTTATTTTTACAGTCGATGTTTGGCTATCTATATGTATTATCAGATATTTTCTTATCCTTCTAGCCCTTTCCTCTGGGGTTGGTTGAGATGTTACTCGCTATAACGCTTTGACGCTCGTTGTTTCCCCACTTTCAGGTAACGAGCCAGGTGCACGAAGAGCCGTAGTTTGATGGAGTTGTTCTAGTTACCATTTTTAATTTTTGCTAGTAGTTTATGTCAGAACTCCACAATAGATGTATTTATGAAACATTTAAGTTTTTATTCTAGTTTTGTATAGGCAATGTGCCTTAATATCATTTCATTTGATTCTTATGTCGAGACATTTGTATTCAGTTCAGATATTACCTTTTTAGAGACTTATCCATTTATATCAGTGGTAGTGATTATTCTTCTGAGTATTTGTTGTTTAGTTTCCTTTCTGTATACTCTCTTTTGCCTGTTTTGTACCTACACCTGTTATTGATTCTACTAGATAGGTAGTGACAGTGATGGTGAAGCATGTCGTAGCATGGTGTTTGGTGCTTGACAGGTTTGACATTCTTAGTTTCACCTTGGACTACAGCCTTATTGAAACTAGGGGCGTCACAATTAAAATATATCATTTTTCTCCCAAAAGCTCTATTCTTAACATTGTATCAGAGCCATTCTCATAATCTCAGAGAGAGCTCCTTCTTCTTCCTCTATATTGAGTCGTCGATGGGGTTTTGCAAAAAACTTTGTGCTTCCCCTCGGCGGCCTTGATACTAGATTCAACCTAGATTTTCATAGATCTTACGTCAATCATTTGGCTTACCAACTAGATCTGCATAAATCTTATGCCAATCATTTAGTTTACCAACTAGATCTTTATATAGATCTTGCGCAAATCATTTGGCTTACTAACTAGATCTTCATAGATCTTGTGCTAATCATTTAGCCTACAATCTAGATCTTCATAGATTTTAAGCTAATCATTTAGTCTAATCAATTAGATCTCCCTAGACCCACTTGGCATAATTATACTATTCATCCACTTCATCGCATGCACACAACACAAGGTGTTCTACGAATTGTCTTAACGAGATTTCTCCCTCCTTGGCCAGCCTCGATCAAGCTCTCTCTAGTCAAGCCTTTTTCCGTTCACCAATGCTTGCAAGATCCGGTCACCATGCCTCCTCTCGCGATCACAGGTCTGCCCACCGCTGATCAACATCATACCTCACCGCTTGCAAAATCCAATCATCACTCCTTCTCCCACGACTACAGGTCCGCCCTCTCGTAACCACGATGCATGACTGTCGATCACCACTACAATAACATGATCTCACATCCTGCAATTCTTGCCACCAATGTGCCCCAATTCAACCACCTCTCGTCAAGTGATGCCAATAACCATCTATGCAAATTTGGCTCGCCTTATCCAAACTCTTGGCTCTCTAGACCGTGAGTCCAACCGGCGTTGTTAAATATAATTATTGGGCATATTGTATCCCTTTCTTTGGTCTCACATCGCCTATGATACTAAAACCTCTTCTCTTACTCTTGTATTAAATCTTTCAACACAATGAATAAAATAAGTCTTTTTCTACTAAAATATATCCTTTTTCTCCCAAAAACTCTATGCTTAACACATACACTCTTGGATTGACCTGTAGTATTGTTTATTTAAAATTTTGGAAAAATAGTTAAGTTATCATGATTGCTGTTTTACTTAAATATTAATATGAGATATTGTTCTACTTACATGCCAACCAGCTTGTATGACATTTTTATTCTGTAGTGATCCGTCTCCTAGGTCCACAACCGTTTGGGAGAGGTAAAAAACTCGTTTGGGCTAAAGCCGTTGGGGACGAGTTGTCCCCAACGGTCGCCCAAACGGTTGTAACCGTTTGGGATGTTGCCCAAACGGTTACAACCGTTTAGGGTATAAAAATTTACCAAATGGATGTAACCGTTTGGCCAAATGTTAGCCCAAACGGTTGAAACCGTTTGGACAATTTTTCACCCAAACGGTTTCAACTATTTGGCTTGTTTTTCACCCAAACAGTTTCAACCGTTTGGGCTATTTATTTTAATAGTTTTTTAAATTTTGGCTTCTTTATTTATCTACCTGTTTATATACACATCTCACACAATAAGTACTCAACATCTCACAATGAAATAAAAATATTCTCAAACTTTGCTAAATATCCAATGTTATATATTCATACACAATGTTTACTCAATATACAATATTAGAGTCAAAACATATACATACACAATGATTACTCAATATCTCACAATAAAAAGTATCTAATATTATATATTTGTCTCTAATATCTAAAATGTCCAACATAATCAATGAAGTCAAGGAAAAGAAGAAATTCCTCGAAGAATGTCCTCTTGGAACAAACCTGAAAAGCCTCAAGTCTGCAAATATCCTAACAAGATTCTCCTGTGATAAACCTTGAGCACTGGAAGTAGAAGTGTTAGTAGCACAGTTGAAGGCTAAAATTAGTTTGGTTAACATCTTGCTGATCAAGAAAATCATGAAGAAACTGTACGGGTCTTTTCTCGTGGGGGTACATGTAGAAGAGACTTCATCATATCATATGCAGTGAAACCGATGGCAACTGACGAAACAACCTGCAAAATATTTAAGCCTTTTAGTTAAACAACACTATTAATAGTTCCTATCTGATGACAATTTCTACTCTCCCTTTTTGTCTTAAAAGCAAATTTAAGCAAACAAAATTAATACTAAAAAGTAGCGCACTAATAACCATAATTTACATGCCCCAGATTATAAGAACAAATATGTGTTAGAGAAAACAATAATGAAATTACCTTCCAGGTATGTGCTTGGCTATTTCTGCCTATCTATTGTCATACATATTATGGGCCCAAATGGCTATTTCTGCCTATCTATTGCCATACATATTATGGTCCCAAATTCGAACCTTTTCTTCATCCTTTGTCCATACATCCTTCTTAATTGCAGGGTTCAAGTGATTGTAACACCTAAAAACCAATATCAGTTTCTCTTAGATTCTAAACGAAAAGGTGATTAAAATCTTCACCAATGGGATTTACTTTTCTAATGAATCATTATGAGAAGCGAACCAATGTAAATTTACTTTAAATATATCAATAATGCAGAATTTCACAAGATTAATCTTTGCTACAAACACACCTCTCTCTACATTGCTTGCCTATGCGACCAGGCAAAGACTTTGCAATGACCGACCAATTTTTAGTTCCATGAAGTTTAACTTGGCTAAGAATGAGGTCATCTTCCTGTACATCACAAGGAATCTTATTACTGAAGAATTCATTCATGATGCGTAAATTTATTAATATTAGCTATGTATGTTGGCATTCACCTCCTTTGTCCAAGCTCCTTTAACTAGCTCTGGATCAAGAACTTTCTGCCATCGATGGAGGCACTGAACATCTGTCCGATTTTTGAAAAGCTTTGCTGGACAAGGAGAAGGAATATATTTCAGCTAATTTTCTTTTAAAAAAAATTCAGAGCAAGCAAATAATTTGAACTCGCATAATAAAGGCAATAACCTATAACCCTTCTCAATCATAGAAAACTAACCATATCCCTTTTCTACATGATTTTTCATCCAGTGAAGAATATTATAACAGTTTTATAACAGATTTTTGCTAATCTTGTACAATTTCTTTTAGGTAGTGCAAAAGGATATTCCAAGGACATCAAGACTGAGAAAGAGTACTATGTAAAATATGGACAAAAACATATCGCATCGAGCTGTATCATTGTCAAAATTTTCGGTGAGAGGAGTGTTTTACATATTATAGGAAAATCATGAAAATTTAACTCCAATAGCTCGTAAAAAGTTCAATGGAAGACTCTTCTTTTATAACTAGTAAGCCATTTTTGAAAATATGATAATTCTCATTCCAACTATAACCTCCGGCAAACATGTAAAGAAAATTTGATATTTTTGGCATGCCTGTCATATAACCTACAAGTGTCTTTTAGTTAAAATGAACGGAGAAAATCCAAAGATGTATAATTAAGTTCATGTCTTCAGTATAAGTTATCATGTTTTTGCATCAATATTGAAATATTTGCATATTCAGTATAATTAAGCTCAAATTTGTTGATTGGGTCTAAATAAGTTGAGCAACAGGAAAAGTGGGTGAATATACGCACGGTGAGAAGTACATAATTCATAATACAATAACAACAACAGAGACCAATGCAAAGTTCATCGACAATTATGCACTTATCTATGCTCTTCCAATTTTTGCCGTTGTGCTTCTTTACAGACTCAGTAAGGAGAGCATCCTATTTTCCCAATAAAGAAAAATATCACTAATAAAAAAAAACCTTAAATTATAAACTCTTGATATGAAAATTTAGTAAAAACACTTGATTATCATCATACTTGCAGCTTAACCTTCTTCTGGAACTGGATGTTAACCAAGTGGGGTTGTGCTCCGTCTGATCTGCGACTAAGAAACAAGCTTTGATCAATTTAAGAAACCAAGAAATGAACTTTAATCAACTTCTCCAACCAAACGACCAACTTTAATCAAGTTCTGAAGGTTTAATTGCACTTCGATACCCTCCTGAAGTCTCACGGTCACCGTTCAGGATTCCATCTACAAGGAAATATTTTGACTTTTTTTTCATACCCCCAAAAGTGAAATAAATTCCCCCCAAATCCCTTTCTTTCTCCTTGAAATTAAAACACTAATCCCTCGCTTCATTGTCCAAATTTGACATTAAAGTGCAGTCACGACAACCCACTTGGTTGGAAATCGACTTCAGGTGAGAGAACTATGGGGTTAAAAGTGCAATTAACAAGAAACAAGCTTCACATGTCAATTTGACCGAAATAGGAGGAGAGAAGAAGAAGGAATCTTAACTGCCAGTAGGTGTCGAGGTTGTCGACGCGGAGGAAGAGGACGCCGTTGCCGGGCTTGCAGGAGCTAATGCTCCATGCTGCTTTCTTGGCCATCTCTCGGAGATCGCCGTTT